TGGGAGGTAGAGTTTGCAGCAAATCAAGATTGTGCCACTGAGCTCTAGCCTGAGCGACAGAGCCAGACCCTGTCTAAAAAGAAAAGTAGAATTAGAGAAAAATCTGGCTCTCATTTTACATATATATACACATATACACGCACACATAATTTTTAAAGTTTAACAAGTAAAATAATAAGAAAGTAGAAAGTACCCTCAGGGCCTGTACAACACTGGCTCCCCACGCACAACAAAGAAACTGGGCAAATTGCGTCTCTCTCCTAAAACGGCCCCGGGGCAGGGGTGTGGGTGTTGCTGAGATACTTGTCCTTTCTCTCCAAAGGAGCACATGTGGCCCTTACCTGGTGGAGTCAGTCACTCAGCCTCCCTCCCTCCAGACACCAGGGCATGTGCTGGCCCTGCCTTCAGATCCCCTGCTCATTTGATTTTCAACACCAGCAGCATAAAATGTCCTGCATTTTGCAATGTTACCAGCACCGCCTGCATTCGTTCAGCGCCTTGGACTGACCAGCTGCTCCACACCTGGAGGACAACTTGAGGCCAACGGGCCAGGCCTCTTCCAAAACATGGCCTTTATGGATGAGGAGCAGGAGTCATGTACCCAGCCACATGCTTCTTAAATCCAAAACTCCATCTCCACCTCGTGCCTTCCTTGGTCCCAGCTGGATACAAGACACCAGGGACAAAACCAAGCCTGTCTTCTTGGGCACCTCAGCTTCTCGGCTGCTGTCCTAGTCATGAGACTGAGCCAGTCCACAGTGACCTGCAGGTATTTCTGTTGGTCTGCAGTTCTACTGACACCCACTGGCAAGTCCCAGTGATGACTACACCTCCAGCTCCAAGACTCCCAGGTAGTAAGACTCACACAGCTGACTTGAAAGAACACACAGCTAGTCCTCAAGATCAGTATCAACCAGGCAGCAGCACACAGCTAGTTCCCAAGATCACAATCAACCAGGTGACATCTCAGAGCTGGTCCCCAAGATCACAATCCACCAGGTGACATCTCACAGCTGGTCCCCAAGATCACTATCAACCAGGTGACATCTCACAGCTGGTCCCCAAGATCACTATCAACCAGGTGACATCTCACAGCTGGTCCCCAAGATCACTATCAACCAGGCGGCATCTCACAGCAGGGCCTACAGGGCTCTCCCTGGCCAGCAAAGCAGGGGCCAGAGGGACAGGCCATGGCCCAGGTCTCAGAGCTAGACACAGGTTTTCTTGTTCTCTGCGGTAACTCAACAACAGTAACAATGAGGCCTTCCCTCCATCTCTTTCTTCTTTCAGAGGATCGCCGGCAGATTACAGGGGTAATAAGACACTCTGAAGGGGGCATGGAGAGTGCCTATAGCTCAGTGAGCCAGGACAGACCCAGACTGGGACCCCAGGCTTGCTCGTCTTCAGAGTTCATTTCTCCTTTCTCATTTCACCCTCTCCTCCCTGGAATGGGGGAAAAACAGTGACTTCACAATGGTGATATCCACCACAGACCCCCCCAAGAAATTAAATAACTCAGATGATAACATCTACACCCCAGCATCAACCAGAACGCCTGTGCAACACACAGGGATGCCATCGCTGACAACCAGGGACCTGTGCTGGAGCCGGCTGCGTCCCTTCCTTCAGGGTCCAGAATGAGCCAAACCCTCAGCACAGCACTGTTCTCAATCCCCGCCCCTCACAGACAAGGTCAAATCCTACTCTTCCTGGAACCCAACAGGGAGTCACCCAAGACAGCAGGTTCTGGCGGTGCTAGGACATCTCCAGCACATGACAGGTAGAAAGAGGCTGGTGTGGTCCCTTCTCCTGGACTCCTCAAGAAAGCCACACAAAAGTGTGGAAGAAGTACCTGGAAGAGGCATGGGGCCCAGGTCACGAAGACCGCCCAGCAGACTGCTACAGCAGAGCACACCCTCAACCTCCCATGGCTGTTGGGGTCGATGCAATTCCACCACTGGAGAATCAACCTCTGCAAACCACACGAAGACAGAGCCCTTGTCCTTTAACATGAATTTCAGTTTCCAAAAATACTCAAGTCCCTGCACCCTGTTCACAGCAGCATTCATCACAGAGCCAGGAGGTGGAAGCAACCCAAGAAATCGATGAAACAATCAGCAAAACAGGATCCATCCATAAACCGGAAAATCATTCAGCCTTAAAAAGGAAGGCAATTCGGACACATGCTATCATGTGGATGGACCCCGAAGACATTCCGCTGAGAACCTTGAAGACACGTCACTCTTAGGATGAACTAACAGGGCAATTCCCCTGTTGCCCTAGAAGAACGCCTGCCACTGAAGGGCAAGGCCTGCATGACTCCACTTACAGGAGGTCCCTAGAGTCATCGAAATGGTGAAGACAGAAAGCAGAAGGGTGGCTGCCAGGGACTTGAGGAGTAGGGAACGGGACGTCAGTGCGGAATGGAACAAAGCCTCGGCCGGGAAGATGAAAGAGTTCTGGGACGGATGGCGCTGGTGGCTGCACGGCACTGTGAATGGACTTACTCACACTGAACTGTACATTTTCAAAGGGTTAAGATGGCCAATTTTATGTTATCCTTATTTTACCTTAATTTTAAAATCATCACCACCATCAAGTCACTGATATGATGTTGTGTGGGTGAGATCCAGCCAGTCCTCCTGGCTGTGGTCACAGAGATATAAACTCTGTGTCTCACAAAAGCATTTTCCAACAAAAGAAGACAGAATGACTTGAAAGACGTGAGAAACTACTTAGGAAGGAAACAGAAACTGGAATGCCATTGCCACCCTCCTCCTCGCCCACCATGACCCCCGCCCACCATGACCCCTGCCAGGCCGAGCTGCTGAGCCACAGAGGGCGCTCAGCCCACATTCCCCTAGCAGAGCCCAGTGCCTTCGAGGTTTCACTGTGAACAGCACAGACTCAACTCACCAAGTGGAGAGAAGTGAAGACATCCTTACCAGATTCTCCATGAGCTGGAAGCAAGCCAGGGATCTGCTGCAGACCAGACACCAGAAGGTTCTCGGGAAGAAGGTGGAACACAGGCTCCAGGGCCGGGTGTGGCTTCAGCGTGTACTGCAGACTGCAGTTCTCAATGAGGGTCATGTGTTTGTTTTCTGGGGAAGAAAACACCCACATGATCAATGTGATCACTGCTGAAAGCAAAGACAGTCAAACCAGCCAATGAATGGAGAATGTTAGAAATACCACAGACAGAAAAGGTACTTTTCTAAGACAGGAAATGCTCTGTTCAGCCTAAAAGTGAAAAGCATTGAACTTTCATAACCTTCTCTGGTAAAGTTACAATTTTTTTTTAAATGACACGGAGTCTTGCTATGTCGCCCAAGCTGCAGTGCAGTGACATGATCTCTGCTCACTGCAACCTCTGCCTCCTGGGTTCAAGCGATTCTCCTGCCTCAGCCTCCTGAGTAGCTAGGACTACAGGCGCCCACCACCATGCCGGGCTAATTTTTGTATTTTTAGTGGAGATGGGATTTCACCACGTTGGCCAGGATGATCTTGATCTCTTGACCTTGTGATCCACCCAACTCGGTCTCCCAAAGTGCTGGGATTACAGGTGTGAGCCACTGTGCCAAGCCTTGAAGTTAAAATGAAAACTTTTTTTTTTTATTTTTCTTTTTTGGTTTTAGAGATAGGATCTCGCTCTGTTTGCCCAGTTGGAGAGCAGTGGTGTAATCACCGCTCCCTAGAGCATCAAATTCCTGAGCTCAAGTGATCCTCCCACCTTGGCCTCCCAAAGTGCTGGGATTACAGGCATGAGACACCACGCCTGGCCTGGAGGTACAGGTTTTTAATCCAACATAAAATCTCTCCTGCCCACCACTTCCCTCAGTCTCCTGAGAGCACAGGCCGGCATGGGCTGTGTGGTTTCCCCAGGCCTCGCTGGTCCCTGCCAGCAGAGGGGCCTGGAGGACACCCTGGCCCGAGGCCTGCCTGCCTGCCTTTGCCTGTTGGCACCTGGATCCACTGAGCCCCAAAAGGAGCAGGCAGCCCTGGAGGGAGGCCAGCAGCGTCAGAGACGGAGCCCTGTCCTCAAGGGCATGCCTCTCTCCCGGGGTGGCAGCTAAGACCAAACAGCCGATACCCATAACACATGGGAGAGCTGCATCTGAACCACGAGACTGCTGTGGGTAAAGCACGAGGGGAAACGCGAGGAGGAAAAGGGGCATGAGAGAACATCACCAGAGAAATGACACCCGGAAGGACCACGGCCGCACCACACTGGGGGCGGGCCCTGAACGTGGAAGAAACAGCATCCCCAGAAACAGGGGTATGGGGAGAGGCACACCCCCGAAACACAGACCCCAGGGCTGCCCTCTTCACGTTCCCACCAAATGGCCAATCTTATTGGGGCCTGATTTTCTCCACAGACAGAAAGCCCAACACTCCCCAAAGCACAGCAGGTGCACATGGTCTCAGGCAGCTCAAGTCCTGGCTGTGGCCGAGCCAGGGACAGCTGCTGAGAGTCACAAGTTCAGCTCATTCCTGAGCAAAGTGCTAAATATGAACTACTGTATCATTAGAAAAAGAAATTAGTGAAAAACTGGGCCCAGCACGGTGGCTCATGCCCATAGTAGCTAGGATGACAGGGTGCGCCACCACACCCAGCTAACTTTTTGTACTTTCAATAGAGTCGGGGTTTCATCATGTTGCTCAGGCTGGTCTGGAATCCTGACCTCGTGATCTGCCCCCCTTGGCCTCCCAAAGTGCTGGGATTATAGGCGTGAGCCACTGCGCCTAACAAAAATAAAAAAAAAAATTTTAAAGTCGGGCAGTGGCTCACGCCTGTAATCCCAGCACTTTGGGAGGTTAAGACAGGCAAATCACGAGGTCAGGAGATAGAGACCATTCTGGCTAACACAGTGAAACCCCATCTCTACTAAAAACACAAAAAATTAGCCGGGCGTGGTAGCCCACGCCTGTAATCCTAGCTACTCAGGAAGCTGAGGCAGAAGAATTGCTTTAACCCAGGAGGCAGAGGTTGCAGTGAGCCGAGATCACGCCACTACAATCCAACCCGGGTGACAGAGGGAAG